AAGCCAACTTTATTTTCTCCTCTTGCGAGTCGGTTTCGACTTCCTTCCACGGCCCCCTGCCCTTCCGACAGGAGGCTCAAGTGTTGGGAAGATTGGGCGGAGCAAGAAACTCTTATATACAGTGAGGAAAGGCTTCAATTTCGAATCCTGAAGGGGAATTTTCATTTCCGACAGCACAGACAACCCCTCGTTTATGTAGATCCTGGCACTTTTCTGAGTGTGCCAGCGACCTTGTAAAAGGATCCTGTCCAGGTTTTGGTGCTTTGCAAAGAAAAACGTTGCCCCCCCCTCGCCGAAGCGAGTAGGGGCGGAATTTAAAATCTGAGATTCCGAGTGCTTCCAGTGCTTGGTTAAACAATTGGCGCCACTTGGGCGGGGACGGTGTGAGGCTAGTGCTTTCTGCAACAGTCTTCTTCCAGGCTTTGACCAAGTAGACGATGGGCTCCAGGCCCAGCACGACGCTTTCAGCGGCTCCCTGACGTTTGCCTCCTTTGGTATAACCAAGGCTGATGACAGCCTGCAGGCAGGAGGCAGCGCACTCGAGGTGCTTGGCTCGCAGCCCCAGGATTTCTCCTGTCCTCAACATGGCGTAATAGCCTACCACTAATGACAGAGCAAAGGAGTGCCAGCCTTTAAAGATGGCCCAACCGGCCATGGCTTGGACCACATGCTCCGGCAGGGGCGGAGCGCGACTGGGGATCTCATTATGCTGCCACGTGCGGAGTAACCGCCAGGCCGCAGGGAGGTTATTACGCAACCCTGGTTGCATGTCTTGCAACCCGGCCAGGGTATCACATGCCAGTCCCCGTCCTTTGCCAATGAACCAGAGATGCTCAAGGTAGTCGCAAACCAGCGGGTCCAGCTTTTTCTTCTCCTTGGGTAAGGTGAGGTGCTCTGTTTTAAGGAACATGAGGAAAGCATCCACTGCCAGGTCATACCTCTTTCGAGTAGCTGGTTGCACTGTCAACTGTTTTAAACTCCCCAATTTCTGCCGCATTTTTGCACGCTCTCGCTCTGTTCCGCCCTCCAAGATTCGCTTAGGCATTTCTATACTTCGTCTTCAACTGCCTCCCCCACCGTAGGCTTGTCGGCAGGGTTGGTGTCCGTGGACACATACGACCAAACGAACTGAGAGCCAGAACAGAGAACAAGAGCGTTAATACGGGCCATGGTGCTCCGTAATCGTCGAGAACTGGTCCGTCCTCGGGTCAGAGCATGCAAACACACTAGGGAGTCAGTCAAATGCAGCAGCCGCTTTCCCAGATGCCCACAATGCTGAATGCGCCACTTTACGGCATTGAGGATAGCCCGGAGTTCCAAACTGTTGATGTGTTCTTTACCTCGACGCCACTTCCAGCCAGCCACGACGGTCCATTTCCACAGTTTGGCCGGGACGGACGCCCGGAGGCGGTGGTACTTCACCAGCTGGGAACTTGGAGTTGACAGGAGAATGTCCTCCCCCTTCATGCTGACAAGGTTGCACAACTTGAATGCCAGGTCATACTGTGAACCAGTTCCCTCACCAGCGCGGCGAAGTGGAAGGCACACCAACCGCCCCTGGAGGGAATCCGTACCCCCTGGGCAGCATAGATCCACAACCTGTTGTGGGCTGAGGGCCGCGCTCATTCCGAGCAACGACAGTAGCTGGCTCAGAAGCCATCCCACCACCGGTACACTCCAAGAGTTTCCAATCAGAGTGAGTCGAGCGTCGAGGTATCCTTCTTTCTTCCTATCGGATTTGCACCAACATGCCGCTGTGTAATGGAGAGGGAACCCCATCATCAACTCCCTCTCAGAGATGGAGGGAACACGGATTGCCTGTTTGCGGTTGTGGACCCCGTGGGCGTCTTTATATTGGTACGGCGGGAAGCGATGCCAATCATCAGCCCACCGTTTCAACTCATGAGTGGAGCACTCACGCATGCCCGCAGGCTTTCGCCCCGGCGTCCATGAAGGTCTCGATGTGGTAAAGGTCGGAAAGGCCTGCTTCGGGTCTACCTTCGTCCACCCGGGCTCCAATAGGTCTTCCAGCTGTTGATGGGCCTCCAGCACCCAAGTGTCCACCTGAGCCCCGCGAACTCGGGAGGCACCTTCCCCCTCTTGAAGTTCCCACGTGGTCCAGTATAGCCGAGGCCTATGACACCAGGTCATTTGTCCCGCGTCGATGTGCACCGGTGCGCCGCCGAAGTCATCGCTCATGATGTCTCTGTCACTGGCATCCATAGAACTCACCGACTCCATCAAGGTGTGCACCTGACACCAGCGAAAATTCTGGCGGGCCAACGTCGCGATCCGAGTCACGTGTACGAAGAGTGACGACCTAGCGTCACGAAGCGCCCCCTTGCGATCAGAGTTTAGCTCTGAAACTCCTTGACAAGGTGGGCCCGCGCCCACAATCACCAGGTCAGCCTGGGAGAACTTCAGGGCCCATGCTTCAACTTCAACAGCAGTGATGGTGGTGACGTCATGGTAGTGCAGGGCTCCTGGGTAATGAGACTCTATGACACGGCGCGCATGAGCTTCCTTCTCCACAGACACATAACCCAACACCGATACCCCTTGAAGATCCATGGCCACTCGGAGTGCGCCAATTCCGTCAAATAACCCTATAACCACCACCTGGAACTGTTCGGCGGGGCGAGGACGTTGCCCACGTAGTCCCCCTCGCAACGCCATGCTGCCCACAGATGTGAGGCGAACCGACCGACACACCCCGCCCCCCGAAAGTGATGCGTCCGAGCAGGTAACCATGGGATCGACATCACACCGGAAGTTCATCCGGACCAGGGGCATGGGGCAGAGGAAACGCAAGATCTCAAAACGACACTCCTTGGGCAGCGGCTGGTACTTCTGCTGGTTCTCGCTGAAGGACTCGATGAAACGCCACACCGCGTTTAGCAGGCCCAACATCGGACGTCTGAACATGGCAAAGTAGACCAGGCCCCCGCACACCACCTGCATCTGCCTCTGGGTCACATATCGTTGTTCCACTAGCTTCATGCCCATACTCATGTACTTGCTCAGCTTGGCCTCTTTAGGGTAAGCTAGTCCACGTACCCCATCAACCGTTGCTCCCTGCAGCTCACAGCGTGCTGAGCGCTCTACAGACTTCTTGGCATTCCTGGGCACTTCCCATCGTTCGTACTCCGACCTGAGAGCTAGAATACCCGGTGGGATCGTACCCTCCTTTTCAACCATCCCGGTGGCATCCACGCGCTCCAAGAGGTCATAGTTATCCAAGTAGACCCTCCAGGACGTCTGCGCCGATGGGAAAGGGCGATCCTTCCTGAGCTCCTGGTGACCAAGGTTGACAACCTTCCCCTCATGTGTGGCCCATTGGACCAGGTTACGATGCACATTTTGGGCAAGGCTCACAGAGTTAAGGAACCCCATGGGCAGCACCCGTGAGGCCAAGTACACCGTCTTACCCTTGAGGTCTTCCGGAAGGACTTCTGCCGGCACCTCCTTGTTAAAGGCCAAGAACCTGACCCAGCATTGTGGCAACCGCATCGTGTAAAAGAAACACTTCACATCTTCGGATGATACCAAGAGGTTCTCCCCCGGCTGGAGGAAAAAGGGGCTCATCATACCCCAGGAGGGGAGGGTGTCCACGTCCCCTCCCAGGGGCTGACAGAGAGCATTCAATGGCGTCAAATTCATAATAAGGCGGCAGATCTCAGTGCCAGAAGACGTATGTTCGTCCTTGGAAACTCCAAACAGTCCGTTCAGGAGTGGACCACTCCCGGTGTCGAACACTTCTCCACTCTCCAGGAAGCAACACACCCCTGCCTTCACCAGGCCTTGGCACATCCTACCCCACTCCTGATCGTCTACCATGACCCTTGGTCGTGAGACGTTTCCCCAAAGATGCTTCGGCTTCAGGTATTGATCGAAGGAGGTGACATATTCTTTGCACCCCAAGGTGCAGACCTCTTCCAGAGCCACTGCTCCGATCTCCTTTGGAAGGGCTGGTTCAATGTTGTCCCAGCTGATCCATTGAGCCACCTTCACCTCGTCCCCTTTATAATCAATGCTCTTAACCGCAAAGAAGGACCCCCAGTCAATGCCTACTGTTACCAAGCCCAAATTGCAGAATCTCTCAACCTCTTCCAACAAGTTGTTAAGCACCTTGATTTGAATCTCAGAAACCTCGTCCTTTCCAAAAAGCTCCTCACCCCAAAATGAATTCAGTGCAGTAGTCATGCAAACCATCCAGTCGATCTGATTCCGGCACCTAGAAGGCCAGAGGCTCCCCAGGAAGTCAAAGGAGGTAGGCAAAGGAAAGATGTCTCTATTTCCACCCTTGCCCGTGAACAAGCTGCGAAGTGGAACCACCTCCAGAAACCTCTGTACCACCCAGCCCCCCAGTACGCCAATCGATCGACCCTCGAGATCACTCCCCAAGCGCTCCTTTTTTGCATCGCTCTTCACGAGGTCCGATGCCTTCGCCGTACCCACTTCGCAAACAAATGGCGGGGGCATTGGCGGGAAGGTGTTGCACCCATCGGCCTCTAACAAAGGGGCCTCATCCACTGGCTGATCTACAACAGCCTGTGGGGTATGCGTCTGCTGTCCAGCAGGACCACCCAGTGCGATCTCGGCCTCTCCCGGCCGGTCCCTCGCACCGCTGACCCAACCAAAATTCAACGCCGCCTCATAGTCAATCTCTGGTCTCCCGTTGCCAGGAGCCCTATTTGCTCGACTGCTCCTCCTTGTTGGACGACTTGCTCTTGCCCTTTCCGCTGTCTTTTCCTTTCGAACGATCTCTGTCTCGCCTGCCGTCGTCTTTGTTCTTGGAGCTTCCTTTTGCATAGCCTTTTGGTCGGCCTTCGGACAGGCCTGCCAACATCTTTGTTCGAGCGTCTGTATAAGCCTCCTTCTGTGCTGAGCTCAATTCCTCTTGGGCTGTGAGCATCAGGTTTTCTGTCGGCCCTACTTCCAGCTTCTGTGCCACTGACCAGTGGGCGCCATTCAGGCCGGCTTCCACCGACTTCAATCTCTGCAGCAGTGTATCCAGCGCTCTCGCCGGTCGAGAGTTCAGCAACTGGTCCACTGCTATCGACAATGCGAGGATTTCTCGTAGTGCTGGACCATTGGCCTTCTTGACGAGGTGCTGCCGCATATACATGAGCGCAATAGGCTCCAAGGAGCCCCCCTCCCGAGGGGCTCCCGCTTCTTGCAGGAGGTTGGAGCGCATCATGGCCAATGCTTGATAGGCTAGTGCTCCTGGGCACCGCTGAGCGATCCGCTGCACCTTGGTCTCTCCCTCGAACAACGTGTCCTCGGCCTCTGCTTCCAAATCCGACCCACTCTGATCCGAGGAGCTGTCGCTCCCGTCCGACGACTTCTCCTTGGTCTTTTTGCGAGCCGCCCGCTTGGCCTTCTTCAGAACACGTCGTCTGACCCGCTCTTTCTTGTCCAGGCCGGTCCCCGAATAGAGAGCTTCGTACGACTTTGTTGAGGCCGCACGAGGATACTTGCCAGTCAGTTGTACTGACCGGCTGCTCGAGGTCGATGATCTCCGGCGCTTCTTGTCCTCCTCCTCTTTTGCCTTCTTGCGGCCACGACCTCCCGAGCTGACACTGCGCCCGGACTCTTTCTTCTTCTTCTTTGATCCCTTGGACTTCTTCTTGTCCTTGTCCTTCTTCCTTCTTTTGCTCGGGCTCCTCTCGGTCTTCTTGGCCTTGTCGTCCTTCTTCTCGACAACTCCCTCTCTCCCGGGGTCGACAGGAGCGAGGGCTTCGCCCCGTGATCTGAGGGCTCCTAACTCGTCGTCGGCGGCCACTACCACCAAATTCCTGGCCCACCCCTCCTCCGGGTGGGCCAAGCCTAGCTTCCTCATCTTGAATGCATGGAGGAGGTCCTCGGCCATGCGTTCGGCTGTGCAATCGCTCGGGCAGCGGTGGACCCTCACCAATTGCGAGGGGCTTCCGGTCTGGTGCTTCAGCAACTCCTCGTTGGTGGTGCCCGTCAACTTGAGACGGAAGTGCACGGCATCCAGTTGTACATCGATCGACTGGAGCTGTCCTGCTGCCTTGCAAGGAGACCCGAAGTAACTTCCATCGGTCACCTCTATCATTGTCCCAACCCCAACGTGCTCGATTGGGATTTCCGACACCTTGATCTCCTCGCCGGCCGTCCAGCGTGCTAACGCCCCAGGAGCTTCCCCGCCTGGGGGTGCTCCCGCCGGACGCCTCAACGCTCCCACTCGCCCTCTGTCCACACGCCTCGGCCTCACCAACATGGCCTTGGCTTTCGCTTTGCCCTTTGCGGCTGGTCGTGCTTTTGGCGCCATCGGGTTCAGTAGGGGGCACGGAAGGGCCACGTCCTACCTCGCTCACGATGCTTTGCTCCTTTTGATCCACGTTTCTTTTGACCTGACGGTCGACTGCTCGATCCGGGTCCTTGTCGTCCACGGTAGTCACGATACCTGCCACGTTCGTTTCCTCTTCCAGGCGGATGGTCAGGAGACCTGGGCCGCTTGGGCGCCGGAGGAGGCGGTGGTAGATGTTCGTAATGACGGGCGACACTCCCTCTAGGGACGGGGACTAACCCCACTGATGAAGGGGCTTTGATTGCCAGGTGGTCTAGGACTCGAGCCGCGATGGCTTCGTCCCTCGACGGAAGGCTCTCCTTCTTGTCCTCTGCAATCTGTGCCTCTCTCTCTCTTGCCTTCTTCTCCTTCTTCTCAAGTCGCCTCTTTGACGGCTTCTGATCTGGATGCTTCTTCTTTCTCTTCTTCTTCTTTTCTTCTTTCTTCTCACCCTGTGCGTCCTCCTCTTTGTCCGCTACTTCACTGACTCCTGGAGTCTCGTTGGCGTTCTCGTCCTTCTCGACGGCCTCTGTCTTGACAACCGGTGCCTCGGGTCCACCTCCAACCTCAGGAGCCGATGGCTTCCCGCTCAAATCCTCAGTCTTGTCGGCTGCGGGGTCTGCCTCGGCTTTCTCTCTCTCCAAGATTGGAGAGGCTATTTCAGCCAAGTCCGTGAGCTCCCCCACGCAGGATCTAAGAGCAGCTACCGCTCTCGCCTCCTGTGACCGGAGTAAAAATCCCCCACAATAAAAGTCACGGATCCGACGAACGGACCTGCAGCCACGGCAAAGGTCGTCCTCCACGGGCTTGTCGAACAGGTGGCACCCACGGCACCGGTCCATCCAAGCTTAAGCCCAAACACTACGGTTCCAACATACGGAACAAACATCTTAACACCCGGGGACGTGGGTTCATAGAAAAGCCAAGGCCTTAACTTCCGAAAAACACAGAATGAGTAAAACCAATATTGCAAAAAACATGTTCCCAAATCTGTCTCCATAGTCTTTGCAGTTGTTGCTTTTTTACAGGAAGTTCCTGCAAATATTCAACCGCGCGTCAAACACGTCTGCGGTTGCGCAGCACACATTCAAGGTATTTGCAAGTTTATCCTTCAACTAGTGTTTGCATATGGATTGATGTCATCATTTGTAGGATGAATGTGCCATTGAATGTGCCAGCAAATTTTGTTAAATGTGATGCAGGTGTGTGGAGTATGAACAAATTTTAGCTTTGTACAATTGATGTGTGTGAAACATGCACGAACTCAAGCCCTATGCTCTCCCAATATTACCAAACTATTGCAATTGCAAGAATCTCTGCGGATGGTCGGCCCCAGGAGTAACCCATCATAGACGTTGTCCAAATTTGGGACAGTGGAAGAGAAGGTTGACATCACCCTGTCTTAAAAAGAACCTCCATCATAGCCTGCGCGGGTGTGAGGCAAGCGCATTGGCAGTTGGCCTGACTGGGGCCCGAAAACGCCGCAGTCAATTTGAGTGCGAGGAAGGTTTCTGAAACCCCCCGGGGGGTGTTTTCCCAAGTGCGTGCTACAACAAGTGTCATGGTCATGTCGCTGATAGAACGATGCGTCCGACAAAAACACCACACCAAACGCTTTTGGTTCGACCTCGGACATAGTCCTTCATGAAGGGTCGAAGCAAATGAGCGAAAGACCTGACAGGACTAGCGACAGGACTCACGAGGAAAACACGTAGGTGCCGACCTTGTCATGTTTGGTCTATACCTGTCGACGGTCCGAGTCAGTCGCATGGAGTCCCATGGAGTCCTAGGGTCAAGCAGCCTCCTATTTGGACTCCATTGTATTCTGTAGAGGCTGCTGCCTGCCTTTGTGGAGCACCGTGTACACCACTGTTTCATGGGGGCGTTTTAGACCAACACAAGGTCAAGTTCTGCATGTCAGGACACGGTCTGGGTGGTGAATGGACAACCCAAATCACCGAATCACCTCGGCCCCAAAGGTGTCGATTCAGTTCAAAGCTATTAGCTATATTCATATAGAGATCAAGGTGTGCATAGACCAACCCTTTGTGAATGCTGACATAGACCAAAACAATCCCCACGCCTTCACCGAATGTCCCTTCACCTTCCTCAGGAGCCCATGCCTGTGCCAGGTAGGGACCTCGAGTTTGTGTGAGACGAGTCGAGACGAGTGAAGGCGTGAGACGAGTTCGGTGTCAGGCGTCACATTGGTTATTCTATTAGGCAATGGCTGCCATACACCAACCAACCAACCAGCTATTACATGGGCCATGCAAGTCACAGAAGGCTAAGAATTGGGGGACCACATGGGACCAGCAAGTCACCAAGAATGTATGGCATCACCACTTCCTGCCCCGAACATATTGTGCTTTTGTGGCATTTTATGGCAGGAGGACTGAAAAAAAATGACAATCTCACAAGATCTCACAAGGTATGTGGATGTAGTATGATGTAGTATTTGTATATGTATCTGTCACAACAGCCCAAGCCCTCTGAGTAAACAACGGCTTGAAAGCACGAACACGCAAGGAGTCTCTGTGGGATACATGGGTGCTCGGGCATGCTTCGACCGCGTGACGTGCATATGTCTGCGACGCAGAAAGTCATACCCGGAATGCTTTGATGTGGAGAACTGCATGTTCTTAAACCCTGGCAGCGTTCGATCGTGGAGCTTCGCCGCTTTGACAAATCACATATATAAAGTAAAGATGATTGAACATGATCCCTAGGCTTCCTCTACCTGAAAAGGCTGTTGTTCCTTCCAAACCTACCCCAGTCCCGCCTTGTCACGCGGGTAGGAAAAATATGGAAAAATGGATGAGGTGGAGCAAACGATCTCGGGAGGACATGTTTAGGACCTATGCCGCCCTGCTGCCCAGGTTGGCACAAGAGGAAACCCTAGAGTGAGGACTGTCCTTCTTTCCAAGAGCTTGCACCAAAAAGAAGTGGTTCAATTCTTCTACCTGGACCTAGTGACCAGTGATGGGTAGTTGTGAAACTCAAGAACACGGGACATTCTTGAACTGCTCTATCTTGGTCGGCTTTCCGAATCTACAAATTCACCGCTACAACTTGGTTATGACTATGCTCACTATGCCTTTTCTGTAGCATCAAGTGCTTCAATGACGCCCTTCACTGGCATCGACATCAACATTATCAGCGGCCTGATGGTGGCTATATCAATACATACATTTTTGTACAGTATTATATACATGTATTATGGTTCTGAAACCCCCATGGCATGGTCTTCACATGGGTGGTCTGTATTCTTGCATTCTATGTGGTATATAATATATACTTATATATGTATATATATAGTTGGTTCGGGCGGAGGGCCCTTTCTTCGTGTGGTTCAGCAGGATTCCGAGATGGTTCCGTTGGGATCTGTTCAAAGGAGTGAACAAGGCCAAACTCAATCGTGGCACCAGAAACTTATGAGGACACTTGAGCCAAAATTGTGGAACCCAGAACCTACACCTGTAGTATATCTGTAGTATATATACAGTGATAATTATTGAAAGGTGCTTCTTGTACCAAGAGGGTCTGGTTGAAATCTATACAGTGTGTAATGCCATGTGAGCTTATCGCACAGTACGACACAGTATCTTGAATTACAGTAATCACAGTTCCTTGCATCAAGGACACATCATCATGAACATCTCATACGGCGGGGACTGGAGTGAAAGGGATGATTGATGATCAACATACTCTTCTAGTAGACACCACATAGGCCAAAAAAACAAACCTGGACCATGCCTTTGGCAGTTCCAGGCAACAAAACTGGTGGGAGGGATCTGAGTCGTCACACCAATTTGAGCACCTGGAATCATGGCTGAGTAGCCCACTATATAAACAGCCGCTAAGTATTGATGTATACACACATATATATATATATATTATATTATAACATTATACAGTTTATATATAACCAGGCATCTATCCTTCGCACACCTGTCTAATCACAGTTGAAGAAGGCAACACCATCTGTCATACTGAGAGTAATTCCTGGGAACATTCTTCTATGAAGAATCATGATCCCAACAAAACATGTCGAGGCGAAACAAAAAACACTGCTAGATCTCTTTACCCCGAAAGGACCGTTGCCTTTTGCATGGTGTACGCGACGAACAGCTATGTGAACACTTCACCACACATAAAGTCGGCGTTTGCATCATGTTCCAGCACCAAAACCCACTTTCCCTTCTGCTACTATATAAGAGTATAGTTTAGTATATAAGTATATATATAGTTTAATAATGTTTAATAGTATACCTAGCGCTTCCAGGCCCTACAAACAAGTATAGGTTATGTCGAAAACCCGGCTTCTTGTGATTGTGAGAACCGGTGCTACCAACAAATAAACGGTCTTTGAACCCATCACCTGGTGTTCCTGGCTGGTCCTGCTATAAAAAGCAGCTTCGTGAAGCCTTATAGGTAGAGTATGGTATAGTGAAAAACACTTCAAGTATAAATAGGCCCACAAAGTGAAAAACACTTCTATTAGTGAAAGCCTTTTAAATAGCCCCACAAAGACGTCGAGAAACGTCGAGAATCGGGAGAACGGATCACTCGGACGTTATCGGATACACGGACGTCCGGCGAGACCGTCTGGCGCGGAGCTTGGGTGGGCCATGGGTGGGCCGAGTGAACCCAGAAGTCATGCGGGCCCACGCTGTTTGACGTCAATTGGAGCATACTTCATGGTGGCAAAATCCATGTAATTGAGCATGTACATCAAAGAATCCTTGCGCAAAGAATCCTTCGGCCCTAACCTTCGCAGGAGTCCGGACTCGAACCAAGCCCTTCTCATTCCAGGGTGGCAACTTCCTCTTCTCAATAGCTTTTGGGATGACCATCCCGCAACAAAAATGAAACTTGAGACTTGCGCGGTCGGTGTTGCGATTTGATGCGTTACCAGTGGGGTGTCGTGAGCAAATCTCCGTGGTTCCGAACGACGCCGATCAAGGACCTCCCTCCTCCGCCGACACTTGTGGTCATCCAAGCTGAAGGTCTAAACGATTGCCTCGACAACTGGGTCATTGGCAGCAAAATCGCACGAGCAAACCAAGCTCTGTGGGGGCAGGCGCTGCAACAGTGATGCTTCACCAGGAGTGGCGCCTTCACTGCCTGGTTTCTGCGAATGATCTGGCCATATGGCACTGTAGCAGCCGACCAGGACAGCACTGTTTTCATGTTTCGACAAAGAACACAGGTTCACAGAATGATTGGATTATTGCTGGTCGACGTTTATCAATGCATCTCTCTGCATGAGTTTCCTTTGTCACAAACTTGGAAGCAAAAAGGCACGGCATTGGTGTGAATACTTTGGGGATCTAATCTTTGGGCGTCTTTTGTAGTGGTGGGCGTCGTCTTCATGATCCAAGGCAGGGTTTCCAGCGCCTTGTGCCCCGCACTCTGTAGATCTGTAGATCTTGAATTCCATTGGCCAAATCCTTCGGCCGACACCAAAAAAGCACCTTCTAACCTATATAGACACCAAAAATGCCAGGACATTTGTTAGCTGGTGGGCATTACGATTGGTGCTTGCGCATGGTCTTATTCAAGTGCATTGCATTGGGCGAACAAATGTGCCGTCGGAAGTTCATGGTGTATGCGTGTATGCGTTTGGATGTTGTACAAGTTTTGTATGCTAAGAAGCACTTTTTTTCTGTACCCCGTATCCCTGAAGAACGTGTTCAAAAAAAGTGCATGCCAAAGTATGTTTAAACACGTTTTAAGACAAAATGTGATTTCTGCTCAGTGTACCCAAACCTGAACCAGTCCATTTTTGGTGAATTGGTTGCTGCCTTAGGATGCCTTAGGTTTTGCATCCAACTGCTGGACCCTTTGCCGCAATGACTGGGATAAGATCTAATTAGTTTTCATGGCTGAAAATAGAAGTCAGAACTTCTTCTTGTGAAGTCTGCTGGAGTTGCCAGGGAGACTGCACTCTTGTGAGTTCCAGTCTAAGCCTTGGACCATTTGGGCCCCGAAACAGTGAGGGAAAACTTCATACCCGTAGCAGCCCTTCTTTGACATACCTCATGTACTAACCCATTGCTTTGCGTCAAAAAAGGGCACAGCAGTGGAAATACAAATCAAACCATATCAAGATTTGTACGTGTAACTTGTTCCAGAAGTACAAGTACAATCAAACCACTTGTTCTGGAACCACTAGTTCTGGAAGATTTGTACGTGTAACAGCATCGTCCACTGTGCAGTCCCTTCGCAGCTGAACAGATTCATCAGCCCATGTGGGTCACCCATCGGTATGTTGTGCGAGTTTGACCTCTTTCCTTTCCACAGGAGGACAGAAAATCAGGTCGTGACCACCTTGCAGGTGAAGGATGGTCCAACGTCACGCCACCGGATGACCGTGGGAAGGGCTGGGAAGGGCCTGCGACTATCTGTGGTTAGTAGCTGCATTGGATGGTCACGTAGATGGTTTCAATTGGAACTACGGCTGCGGCAGGTTGCTAGTCAGGCGTATGTATTCTTCACCTATGACCTACGGACTGTGCTTGGTGGGCTTGAGCGTAAACTCGTGCAGTGTGAGGTAGACTCGTAGACTCTACTTTTGACAGCCCCAAAGCGATGGGCATTCCGGTTGCTCATGATGGGCACGAAACGACTCCTATCAAATACACGATAGTCCGGGCATGCAGGACACTGGCTCTTTCACTCAATATCTCTGCTAGAAAGCGCCCAATTTGCTTTACAGCTCTGCATATGGCCAGGGAAATGTCGACAAACTTGGGTCCGGTCTCACTGCGCCTCCTGCAACTGTCAACTGCAAAAACAACAAGGTAACCAAAAAATACAGAAAGTAACTATGACAGTAGTCATTACCTCAGCCATTGAAAGCATGATCGCCAGGGCATCCTCCTCTCATCCAGGCAGCCAGTGTGATGCTAAGAGCAAAAGTGGTAAAGGGAGGAAACACAAATATGGCTGGTTATTACACAGGCCTCGCAACCACCAATTGATTTCCAATTCTGCCTTTACCTCCATGTGGCTTCCCGTCTTTTCCACGTCGTGTTCCTCGTGTTTGTCGACTTCTGCCACACCAGCTATGACATCCATCAACCATGGAGGCCCTCAAAACAGCACTTCTCGTATGATGCTCTTGGTGGTAGGGTGTCTTGTAGCCGCTCTTGGAGTTTTGCCTTAGCACTTTTGAAGGAAAGAAGAGGCCTTCGGGAGGGAGGGTGAGTCCAGATGCTTTCATGTGGTTTCAGAGGTTCCATGGCACAACCCCATCTAAAGGAATGTACGGGTGCCAGTGCCATCTAGCCTCTGAAACCACATGAAAGCGCTGTACCAGGACCTTCAGTTCGTGACCTTTTGAGATCCTACAATGAGGTCACGAATCGTCCTTAAAGAGGTCACTTAGAGACTCCAAAGAGGTCACGTACTGAAGGTCCAGGTATATGTCTCTCTCTTCCACAGATTAGAAACCCATGAGCATTTCCATCCCTAGGAGTTTCAAGATGGCATGAGACGGCGATGGATGATGTCCATGTTGCATGTGTTACCCAAAACATCAAAGGGTCCAACAGGATCATTGCATTCATCACACTTGTAGAAAACAGAAACTGGAGATCATGTGAAGATTCTCCCGGATCATAGTAGTTGCCATTTTCATCATTGTCCCAGTCGTGTGGTATTATCCAATTCAACCACGGCACTGGGCACGTCATGGGACGCGTCTTCCTGTCGACCGGTCGGACGAACGCGCGGAGGTCGGTTCAACAAGGACCAGTGTGTGGACTAAGTGGACCCTTCACAGGAGCAATCTACTAACTATACACACTTAGTGGATATGGGTGTGGAAGATCTAAAGAAAAGGTGACGACCCCCTTGGAAGAAAGGGAAACAAACATTAAATAGAGTCTACCCATTGGTCCAGGGCTAGGTCGTTTTGGGGTCCTATCAACAATGCACTTGCTCGTAGTTCTCGACGTTTTTTTCACCGGATCCGATGCACCGGCCCCTACGCTCCGGTCGCGGAATGGATGGTTCCTCATCGGCCGTTGTCGTTGCTCGTGCTGTACGTAGCTGAAGCAGCTCGCTTCTGCCCCGGTACCCGGGGGCACCGAATCGAAAGCAATCTTTGACCGCAGGACCGAATCGAAGAAGTTATATACCCTAGAAGTCCAAAGACTAAATATGTTGTCCGACTGAACTTGGCTGCTCTCAGCTTGGCCGCTGGAAGCTTAACTTTTAGGGTCCAAAATGCACAAAAAACAATGTTTTCTCAAAAGGGTGAGCATACCAATGCCATCCTGATTCCCAGCCACACACAGCCGACACCAGGAAAGCTCTTTCAGACAAGCCTCCACTGTTTTTTGGAGTCTATCATGTATCAGTATTCAGCACAAGCACCCACATCACCATCACCTGCCTCTTTGTAGCATGCCAGCTGCTCTGGTCTTCTATGGACCAATCTGCACTGGTTGGGAGCTTCCACATGAACCTCCCCCGCAATAGGAGAGCCCCGTACTTCCTACCAACATCGCCAAGACGGAACAGTTCACAGCCAGCAGATTGGCGTGGTAGACCTGATCAATATTTTTTATTGGTTCAAAATTCAAGGAACAGATCGCAGCACAAAATTTGCCCTGCCTGGCTCCGCTCAAACCTGCCTGACCAATGGCCCAAGACCGAGAAAAATTAACCCGGGCTGTGGGAGAAGAAGCCCAAACACCTGTAAGTTTTCGGATTGCTTTTATTTGCGCTGGAAGCCCGCAAGGGGCTTATGTACTTATATGGCTTGTATGCACCACCACACCGGCAAATTCCATTCAACCCCCAATTAGGGGCAGGACATCAAGAAAGAATCCGCGTTCACTTTCCCAGGTGGCCTCAAACATGCTGATTGTTGGGAAGCCTGGGAAGCATGTGTAGTTTCGAGAGTTGAGCTGCTCATATTGGATTTCAAATGCGGCTCGTCTGAAAAGGTTCGCTGAGAATTGGAATGTACGGGGAGTATAGGTGTAGACAACCTTCTAGATATAGGCTGCCGCATCAAAACTTTTCCACGCCCGCCACCCCAATGTCACCACCTCGGCCTGGGAGCTCTAAGAAGATAACGGCCAGCTCTTTTCGTTGCAGCCGAAAACTTTTGGTCTGCTCCATGGCGTGCCTCACACCGCGCAGAAGCCCTACCGAATCCACAGTTATCATAGCCACAGGGCTGCAAAAGTATTGAATATTAATATCATTTGAGCTGTGCTGGAAACCTTGATAGATTCCTATGTCGTAAGAGGGTGCTTACGCAACACATAGGTTAATCTTACGCGCTCCACAGGTTTTCTTACGCGGCATGTGGGGGCAAGTGGAGGCTTACGCCACCCTTACGCGGCCAGACTTCGCAGACTTTTTGCGAATCTGCTGGGAACATGCTTACGCGACGTGCTTTGTACAATGATATAGCGCTTCAAGATTTACTACTTGCAGAAGCATGCGTTCCTTCCCGCAGTGGCACGGCTCACGCAAGCGCACTTTCCACCGAGGCCGCGCAAAATCGCATGGCGCAGCGACATCACAAACGTCATTTGGCCACACGGTGTGCCACTGACTAGATACAACAGTGCGCCACCAAGCCTCATGGACACTGCCAAGAGTCCAAGAGTTTCTCCTCTATGGACGTGTTTTGTGTTGGCATATATGAGCAGGGTGGAAGCTTGTCTGAAGTGTATATTTTCGGGCCAGTGTTGGCAAAAGGCTTTGGGTTTGGGAGCCATGTGGGCTACTACTCACTGACGCTGATGAGACTTACGCGCTGCCTACGCGGAGCTTACGCGCGCCTTACGCGGAACGTGCCGTGACTTTTCTCGGTTTTTGTGAGGTTCCTGTTTCTAGAAAACACAGCAGACCTCCTCAACCAAATCTGTTCTCACCTGCAAACCAACAGACACAAAAAAGCTTACGCGGCACAAAAAGCTTACGCAACCTTGCGCACTGCAGTGTTTTCCTTACGCCCCGAGCTCTTATGACAAGACTCTTACTCATTACAAGCAAGTGGGTTTATGGCATGGCTCATTTATGAAATGTCAAGCTTCCAGTTTAGACATGTACGTGACTACGTCTACAGAGGAGTTTGCAAGCTGGACATGCTTTTGGGTAGTGTTTTTACAGTCTTAGCTTTTGACATACATGCATATTTACACTTAAATGCGCGCGTAAGTATGCTTACGAGTACATATACACATGCAGGCAGGTTGAACCGAAACCTGCCTGGGACCCAAAAAAACTATCCAAATCCCCGCGCAATCACAGATATCCTGCCAACGCCTCGCCCCCAAACACGCGAGGCCATCCCGGACAGAACCGGGAACTAAGACTTGCGAGGAATAGAGAGAATTACAGAGATTCACAAGGCAAAGGCTTCCCAAATAGCAGTTTGGAGGACAGAAAGGATCCAAAGAAAAGCGCAGAGGCTGCCCGTCTAAAGACGCAGGTACCTTGTTGTCTCTGCAATGCTGCTGTGGTTCTTTTCTTTTATTGAATGCTCCCTGATGACGTAGCAGATCCACGACAGGGTTCCAAAGCGCCCGTTTTGGAAATGCGCTTGCCAACTTATAGGAAAACGGAAACAATACCGGGCGGTTTGGATCACCAAATCGATTTGTTTTGGTTGGCCACGCGCCTTCAGACAGAGGGAAGCTAGGCGTAGTCTGCAAACAAAATATGCCAAGAACCCGCGCAGTGATCCAAGGGTTTTGGCCTGCTCTCAGCAAATTCAAAGCTCCTCTATACCAGCGTTCATAAAAGCAACGCTTGCACGACTCTCTGCCCGAGCAGCTCCTCCCATGCCCCGCATCACTTCTGCAATCCGAGATCCTGTCGCGAAAGCGCCTTCCTGTTGTGGAAAGACTTTGGGGATAGTGCGGGTTACAATCCACCGTCACCCGCCCAAAACGCACAACCTTGGTGCAGGCTGGTTGACAGCTTTGGCTCGCAGGTGCAGCTAGAGAAAAAGGCAAGGCCGCAGAAAAAGCGCGCTCCGCCAAGTTGCTGATTGGTGGCCCCCGAAGCAAATAACAAATCAATGGTTTCTCGGCTGCTACCTGACAACAGCTTTAACGAAAGTGTTGTGCTCTTGCTGTGGCTCTTAAGACGACCAGAGCATCCCTTGCACAAGACTGGAAACCAAAGCATGCGTTTTCGATCAATTTTGGTCAGCTTCCTTCGGTTCCGCTTTGGCCCCAGATAACGGAACCCCAAAGTGGCCCCAAAGAGTGACCTTCCCACTCTTGCTCTTGCTTTGAAAGGACAGGGATTCAAAGCAAAAGCTTTTGCCCAAACGCGCTCTTCAGTAAATTGCCTTTGTGCTTGCGCAACGAAAGCTTTTTCTGTGGCTCCATTCCCACCTGCTGCCCTTGGCAGCTCGCCGCACCGAACAACACCAGTGACCCTAGGTGGGCAGCTGTTGACAAAAATGAGCTGAACCGCAACAACCGGGAGAGATATAATTAGCTACTTTTTGCCTTTTCGCACTGGTGACTGGTGGCCCTCTGTCCTTTCGCCCGGCTCTCCTTGGAGGAGCTTACCCCGCAACCTGTCAACACGGCGTTTGAAATCAGAGTCCGGGGCCTGCAGTAGCAAGCCTCGATCGGCAGGTTGAGCCCCAACTTCGCCATTCTTGGAAGAAATCCTTATGTCAGGCAGCCGGCCAGCCCTGACAAAGGCACACCTCCGATTTTGTGTTTTGCTTGCTACCGCCAGTTTCGCCGGAAGGGTCTGGCAGGCGACCGTCCGGTCGCCTGTCAGCCTCCCAGCCGTGTTTCCAAAATTCTGCCTGCCAGAGAATGTCGGTTTTGTAAACCTTCCCCTCTGGCAGGCAACCGGCCGGTTGCCTGCCAGAGGGCAAGCTTTTACGTTGCAACTGCTTGCGAAAGAGGCGCCTCTGATCGAAAAGCCATGTCTCGCAGAGGAAAACCTACCCCTCTGGCAGGCGACCGGCCAGTTGCCTGCCAGAGGGCTGGCTTTGGAAAAACACGCGTTTCTGGTGTGCTACACGCAAGTTTCTGCAGGAGCTGGTCATTCAGTGTATTTGCGAAGTGATGGGAGTGCCGTTGCTTGCGGAAGGAAACCACATGGAACAGACATTCCACCTTTGGAGGAGGAAACATGCTACACTTCCACCTCCAACCGCGTACTTTTGCTACCTTTTCGATCCTGGTAAAGACTACGTCCTGCAAGCTGGCGCTGCCTCGGAAGATGATGGAGTGGTGCTGACATGCTGGGATTTGGCCGGGCGTGAGCTATTACGATTGAAAGCAAAGGAGTCTGACCTGGCCTGGACTCGCAAGCGCATTGCCAATGACTTGCAGGTTAGCCTTCCAAATCTTCGGGTAGCTCTGCCCGATGGACAGTTGTTGGTCTCAATGTGTAGGGCAATGCCTTTGGCCACAATTGCAGCAAAAACGCGTAAAAACCACACCTGCATAACTTCGAGCTCTCTTTTTTTACGTGTGACATTATCTACTCACAGCCAACAAGGTGCAGCCTGGGCCACCCATGGGCCACCCCCAAGGCAGTGGTATGGCAGTGGGTCAAAACCGAACACCCTACAAACCATGGAAGGTTGACATCCCTTGCTACAAGGGATCTGTTCATTTTCGGTGGTTCACCAAGAATCCTTATGAATGGGAGCCTAGTTCGATTACATATGAAAGGAGTACCGGGCTGTTGGGTGGTCGCGTGGCGCTGGCCTGGTGAACCCCAGCGTCCCCCTGTTTTGACGCACTGAACAATCGTGAGGAATGCTGGCTTTTCCTTCCAATGATAGGAGTACATTGGGAACACCATCTCCAGCTGACTGCAAGTGGAACTGACATGACATGATTGTCTGCCTCTGCCAATACTTCACCAGCTATTACCAGAGTTTTGCTCAGATCAAAATATCTGACAGGACGAGGTCCCTTGCAAATCTTGGGTGAGGCCAATCAAACACGTAAAGAATCTGACTCCCACCCTTGTCTTTCAATAAAGGACACTACCATTGAAGAAACCTCATCACCTGATATGGAGAAAATCAGATCATTTGTAGAGCTGTAGCTTTTCGCATTGTGATCTGCATGAAACCAAGCCACTTGCCCACGCAACATGGCCACGTGCCATGCTGAGGGAATGGTTCCGCAACACCAAGACCTTGGCACATGAGCTTTTTGTAGGCGGGAGATGTGTCTCTGTGGGTATACGGGGTGGGTGGGACCTAAGAACTCAGAGTTCTTCATCATGGATATACAGCGGTACTTAAGTTGGCGTTCTCCAGATCACCCAATTCTTCTGCCAGCCTTTTGATCACGAGGTGTACATTCTAAGTGCATGGATGACATGGGAGGACATCATCGTTCGCTTTTAGAGCAGCTGCTGGGCGAAGTGTGTAGATCTCCAGAACTTGAACGGTATATAGTAACTATATAGACCTGGGATGTGTCCCAGGCCAGGATCTCAGCGTGATTCAGATGCAGAAAGCGTGGACCTGGTCATGCTGCCCTCTTACTACTACTACCCATCAATGTGTCAGTGAGGCTGGAACACTCAATCAGAGCAGTTTTGAGAGTTCCTTGAAAAATAACATGCATGCATGAAAGCGACAGTTTGTTGTGGTTTCAAGTGGACCGACAAGAGGTTTCTCCGTTGGAGGCCCCCACAAGACCTCACTGGATGGAGCTTCCAGTTCCTCTCCAGGGCTTTGGACGCCCCAAATTCTCTGGAGCCTTGAAGCCCCTGCAAATAACAAAGAAAAAATCAATATCCGTTTGGATTTGGGACCGGGGCATGCTTGCATCTTCCAAATCTGGTGACGGGCTCCAGCCAAATATCAACCAAATAAAGCAACCTTGCAGAATGCCTCACCAAGCGTACGTAACAACGTCTGATAGACCTGAGAATAAACAAATGTAAACAAAAAATCTAAGATCCTAAGGGACCACCTGAGGGCAGCCAAGTGAAGTATATAAATTCCTTTTCGGGTCACCTAAAGACCGTTCTTTTTATAGTCTTTGACTCCCAGGGTGTATATATATATACAATATATATATATATATCGTGCAGGCCAAATGAAACTTTTACAAACAACCCGGGCTCCACGGTCGCACGGACATGAACAAAATACCTTTTCGGGTAGACAACGCAATGCCATCACAACGCCGGTCCCCCTGCACGAGTGGTGTAACGTAGTCGTCGTCCTCTGAGCGGTACTTCTTGATGGTGGATTGCGCTGTCACCACGCCTCATCTCAGGTGACTACAGGTTTGACAGAATCAGCCCAGGAAAACAAGTCCCAAAATAGAATCACAGGGAAACAACAAGGTAAATGGTTGAAGAACATGCTAAAGAATACAGTTCCAATTTTCAAATACCAATCTAAGTACAAGGTTTGGAGATGCCATTTCAAAGAAAATGGTGTTCTTGCTGATGCATGTATAGAATGATGGTGTCAGTGCCAAACCAATGACTTGTTGTTCTGATTTCTGCAATCGACCGCCGACCTATATCAATTGACTGAAACACATGTGAGAGAGAAGCACAACTGGGCAATTCCATGTGAAGTGCGGTCGGGGGTTTACCTGACCGAGTTCTGGCAGAAGAACGCACGTAGTGAAAATCCTGTGCTGATACAAGCTCCTCAAAATACTACGGACCCTTCAAAACATGAAAGATCTTGAATATCATCTCGGCAGCCAGGAGGCATCTCGTCCCCATAGAAAATAAAACCCTCAATTTTCACCATCCAGGTGGCTCACGGGGAAATCTGATGGCTGAGAGCTCACCAGGCTCCGGCTACGCTCGTAGCGATATCGCTGGAGCTTGACTTGGAAGACTCCGAAGAAGTAACCGAGGCCTTGGCTGAGGTGCGAAACCGCAGGGAGGCGGGATGAGGTTGTGACATCAGCCTTTGGAAAGCATCGAAAAACACATTATAAAAAGCTGCGAGCTCGCTGTTGAACTACGAGCTGCAGGATCGACTCAAATGGACACGAGAAAAATGATCCTGACGGAATACGTCTTATACTGTTCGTTAATGATTCACCTGCAGGTGCACTGAGTCCTTTTCCAATCTGAACCTGCCACCGCACCTACTGGACTAGATCTTGACATGTTAGCATCTTCTAGAAAACTAGTGAAAGAAGCTCTTACCAAGAATATGACGAAGAATACTACAAAACTACCGATACTACAAAACTATATATATTTCGAAACTACCTTGGTCATCCATCTATTGTATGTATTCTTATACCAGATTCAGTTTCCACAACATGCCATGAAAGAGTGGTTCCACAGCCAAGGTGTGAGCTGGCCCGAGGTCAATAGCAATGAATTACTGAGCAAAAAATGGAACTTGTTAAATCTGGCCCTCCGCGAGTCGCTTTTTTCGATGCGACATCTCGAAACAGGGACCGCTTCTGCGATCGAGCCTAGCGCCGGGCGTCAAACCAACTGGAGTTTGTTTTTGGAGCGATGCGGCAACGGGCGTCTGCTTGTTTGCACGCTGGTATGCTGGCAGGCACGCTGAAGAACACTGAATTCACTGGTTTGATCACGTCGGTTATGTCTTTTTGTTTTCTGACCTTGCTGATTACGCTGGCCACGCTCAGTCTTTTTGGTTTCTCCGGGCCTTGGTTTGGAACAATCCCATCTTCGACAACCAAGGCGTTGGAATGTCCAGACCGCTGACCGGGATTCACGTGCGTGTTCCTCAAGGTTCCGCAATCCTCCAACCTTGCTGCTGAACGTTATGGCACATGCTCTTGCTTGCTTCAGCATGTCATGGCTTGTTTCGGTTGTTGATTGTGCCGTTTTGCTTTCCCCCGCATCCAATGGCACCATTGGCTCGTTGGTCATACGACATCCATCCCCACCGTCCGAACATGGTCTACGCGGTCCCCTAGACCGTTGGACATCGGTCCGATCAGGTTGGGACCGGTGGACGATTCCGTTGGGCGCCTCACCGATGAAGAGTGTTCGCTGGGGGAGGTGAAGGGTGGCCGGAATCTGGGTGTTGTGGTGCCTGTACCTTGTAAGTACCCCACTGGGCACTTACAAGGTACTTATGCTTGCTTGTACATGGGTAAATTCATGCTTTGGGAACGTCTTGCGGGCAAGATTTCGTTGGAGCCATGGGCGGGTGGCAGCCGGGATGCTTTTGGCTGCTGGCAGCAGTTGGTGCGACGATTCTGCTGGTTGTACTATATAAGTATGCTGGTGGCTGATCATCTGGCCCCAGTGCAACTGGGGTCACTGATGTAAACAGTGTAACCTGCGTCATTGCAATCGGTGTAATGTGACTCTGGACAAAATTAGGAACTACAGTAGGTATACCATGTATGCAAGTACCTACATACACTGGTACCAGGATGGACCAGGATCCAATACCTACATACACTAGTCTACCTACAATAGTGTACCAGGTATTGGATCCTGTTGGATCCTCTCAAGTGATGTATTTGTCCATCGTGTTGTTTCCCAGCTTCTCACGGCACCAAAAAGAATCCTTCCGCCGAAAACAAAGGCAAAGTGGATTCCCTGTTTGCGCATGTCGACACCCGACACGAGGTCATTCCGACTTCTGGTGCATTCGGAGGTGCTACAAGCCACACAGCCGGCCACAGCGCTGGAGGTGACACCCAAAAGGAACCACAACACGATCTGAGCTTCGCATTGAGCGGACATCGCCAGTAACAGGGATCTACAAACGTCATGCCGATGAGCACAAACTTGGGGGTCATCCCTATTTGGGAATACCTTGTGCAATCTACAACCTTCTTCATCATAAGTTAATGTCAAGCAAGTTTGCTCTTTAGGGTTCATCTTTTGGGGGAGATTGATTGGGGACTACAAAAGTTGTAGCTTGCAGGATAAAATACTCTACAAACTCGTAGTCAGATGGCAAACCCATCTTCTCAAAATGTTTCCCATGTCCGGAGGATCCTGCTGCAGCACTTTCATCCTGAACGGTTGATTTTCACGTATGCAAGTTGCAAGTTAACCAATAAGTGTAGAAGTTCTTTTGACTCATATGACTCGAGGTGCTCTCTCTGTTTGTCAAAGGACTCACCTGTCACACAGTTGAACATCGGCATGAACATGGACACCACTGACATGGACCCAATAAAGAATACATGATTGAAACATCTTGAAAGGCAGGTGCGTCCCTGCTCTAGATTATCCACTTCGTTGGGGCAACTTTATACACATATAATCGCAAAGATGCAAACTATTTAGTCATACATAACATAAATTGGCATGCTTTAAATACAGGCCGAATAGAGAGACATCAGCAATCACCAGCATACAGCTCAGCTGCCGTCTGTAGGCCTTCAGCAGGAACCTCCTTGCGAGCAGAAATGAAATCCCGAACATGCACTCGATCACCCATACAACGTCATGTTACAGGTTGCCAAGCTCTTTCGTTCTCTGTATGCTCAAACAGTATCAATGTGCTAACCCTCCAAAAGCATCAAAAACCAGTCCCTCCATTGGTCCATCGCTCCGCCACGTATTGCACCCGCCCTCAAAGAAGCTGTAAGTTCGGTATGACTACCGTGCTTGCAACACACATCGACATCGCATGGTCGTTCGTAAGTATCTGTGCCAGAAAAAGGTTGGACCACCTCCTTGGAGCATCAACCAGCCCAGCGTAAAGAAGTGTTCCTAAGGGCCCACTCAGGCGCCGGTGCACCCTGCCTTAGGTTGACCTTCTTTGTCTCCAAATTCGGATCAGCCAGAACCCGTGGTCAGCCAGAATTCTCTCCTCTACACGACAAACAAAGCGTTCCTTCGGCCCCGCAAGAGGAAGGGCTCGGGTCGCCGCGTCCTCGGGAAGCTGCACGGTGGTGTAAACATGTGGCACGTCCAACATCTGGATGTGGGTCACCTGAGAGTGACGTGGACGCTGCGACACGTCTGAAAAGCGGCGCGCGACACACCTGGCGGCAGCGCTGCGACGGCATCCGGACGCCCACTGGCTGAAAACAACGCCGGCCTGCTGTAGCAGCGCTGCGACGGGACGTGAGCAATGTCCACCAAACTGCCCATACCGACGGGAGACCCGACAGCCGGATGTGATGATGTGAATATGTTTTTGCTTCTTTCTTTTTGGTGACGTGTCATGTTCACAAAAACACACAAACACCAATAGATTCCCACAAATGGAGGGCTCAGGGAGTCTGGGATGACCTTCCACAAATGGAGGGCTCAGGGAGTCTGGGATGACCTACCTACATCTCATCTCTAGGATCTCTTGTGAACAAGTATCCTGGATGAGTTCCCGCGGTGGCTATCGATCGGTGGGCTCTGACGAGCAAACACCTTCAACAAATCGATCATTCGATCGTAAGCCCTGGAAGAGCTCTCTCCAAACTCTATATGGGCACCCTAGTGGTCTCCAAATAGATAGAAACGGTCTCCAATACACTGGAGATCTACTTTTGTATCTACTTGGGGGATCTTGGGGGTCTATGATGGTCTATATATCTTCTTGCAACTGGGCACTTCCAGCCCCTCTTGCTTCAGTGATCGAGTAAATCTCCCGGCAGCATCCTCAGCAACATCAGGCCCCCCAGACTGTCCGAGGCAAACCCAGCATGGCTAGAGAGTCATGAAACAAACCGCCCACCCTCTCCCAAACATGGAACACATGAGACCGAAATGATCTCCAATGACGTCCAATGAACATGACCTTGGCATTGCGGTAACACGGAATACACCTGCCACAGATTGCTGAGCCTCTCCAAGGACTGTTCCATGACAATATGTTGTGTTCCACGACAATATTCTGTGAGTCACCAATGCGAGCAACGCTACTTTCCCTGACTCGCCACTGGTGTCTTGAATGTCAGGGATGATTGGAAGCCAGGACGAATGACAAAAGGGTTCACATCGAACACTTGTCATTTAAACAGCTTCGAATCGATTGACCCGGCAAACCGTCTCGTGGCAACAGGCGCCAAGCAGCGCTCTGGCTATCTGCCAAGCTTGTGACCTGCCGACACTCCCAAAAGACCAATCACACGCCCTGAAAGGGAATCCTTTAAGTGATTCTCAAACACCATTTTAACCTTCAAGTTGGAGGAACCATGCTATCTTCTTGCAGCTGTGGATCAGTGTCTGAGAACGATGGTGTGGAACCCCCACTTATAAGGTGAACCCACTGGTGGTATCCTAATTAGTGCTTTAATATCTTTAATAGATGGTTCTTGAAACACCAGACCAATCTTTCAATATAGATGGTTTCTGCCTGAAGCCTCCACAAGCAATGGCTAGGCTATGCTGCCGTTCAGAAGCCGTATATTGCTCCTTGGCCCTCGAGCGCCAAAAACCCGCCGAACGACCCAACAAAGGGCAGGCTACCTTCCATCTATGTCTCTACTTCGGTACTTACTTACTGACCGACTAACTGCCTGCCTGTGTGCCTGGCTGGCTGACTGAGTGCCTGGTTGGCTGGCTGGCTGGCTGACTGACTGACACTGACTGACTGACTTTCTTACTCACTTACTATAATAATCTATTTTACTCTATACATCTATTTTAAGTTGAATCTATACTTAATTCTACTTTACTAACTTTATTTACCTTTCAAGCTACTTAATTGAATGTTACTTACCTTTACTTACTTGCTTACTGAGAGTCCTGGGGGGAAACTACAACATCTATTTCGTTACATCGCAAAGAATTGCCATGTACCTACTAGCGATGGCCTATAGCAATGGCCTACCTACTAGCGATGGCCGCTTTTTTCCGAAGAACTCGCTCGTCTTCCGTCGCAACGCACGACGTGCCTTCGAGAGCAACTCCTTCACCGAGTCGCTAGACGCTTCCACCTCATAACCTCGACGCTTCGTGGGCAACGAGACGAGGCCCAAAGGCCGAAGAACCATGTCACATGTGCTTTATGTTTTTCATTTCATATAGTATACTGGTTGTTGATGTTGTAGTGCTTTTGTTTCTCATGGTTTTCATTTGGAATGTGGGTGTGATGTTCTTTTGGCACTGTTTATTTTCCTTGGTGTCCCTCTCCCGTGCGTGTGTCTGTTCTTCTCTGACCTGCGTTGAGAACCGTGGAATGTTCGACCTGGTTCTCTAATGACATGAAATTTGCATAAATTTGCAAGTTATCTTCTTCCCCAAAGGGGGAAATGAGACAAACATCCCTACACCCACTCATCCCACAAAAACCCCTCCCGGGGATCGTTTTAGGCCGAGCCGCTCACCCCCAGCGCCGCCTCGATCGCCGTGACCTCGGTCTCCTCCACCAAGCGTCGCGGAAGGAGCTCGATGACCTGTCTGGACTGATGGACTCGAAAGGACAAGACGAACGATTGGCCGAGTGCGTCTCTGCTGCTTGGCCGAGTGCGTCTCTGCTGCTTCGGATCGTCCGAAGCGTGCGCGAGAAAGGACAAGACTCAAAAAAATGGAAGAATCCCAAAGCCAAAGAAGTTGCCCAAACAACAGTACACACACATATGCTCCAAAAAAACACAAAGATCAAGCAAATTCTTAAAAAAAAATATTTTGGGAAGATGTTGTATGGGTGGCGAAATACAAGGAAATCAAACATTCCAAAAGTTTCAGTGTGGCATGGGGTGACTAATAACTATATACCCAGTAGTCTGTTCATTAGGATGGTAAACAAATAACCATGACAAATATTCTATAATTTTTTGGACAGAGTTATCCTTCCAATTTCAATTTGTTTGGCGTTGTTGGTACTGTCTTCTATTTTGCACCCCATCCACAAAACAAGTTCCCAAATTGATGACATGTTTGATGTATTTTGTGTATGATCTGATGTTTGGCTCATAGCCTTGTCCTCTCTCAATATCTCAGCGCAATGTAGAGATGTATTCTGCAAGAAGCCTTTGGCGTCGTGAAGGCCAAGATTGCAAAACAAGAACCATCAACTACATATTGAAGGATACACTGGAACACACGTACTCACTCACGGCCCACGGCGCAGGGTTCTGTAAAGTTTTCGTACGTGTTCATAACTGTTCAAGGAAGCATTCATCTCTAAACACATCGAACCGACTCATGTTTTACCCCGGTCAATGGAAACAAGTCAAGGTCACATGAACCGAAAAAGCAACGCTTAAAAGCGAACTGCCCACGCTTTTTTGCGAACTGTTTACAAAAAAAAAGTTCAGAACGTGGTGGGCAGTTCGGTCGGAACATCTGGTGTTTGTTCGAGGACCGCCGTAGGCCACGTGTTTCAGCGAAGCGAAGAGTCTCCGACCTCTGGACGACATGACCGTTCGGCTTCACCGGGTCATCTGAAGATCATCTCATCCCGGTCACAGTTCCGGAAGGAGAAAGGTTCAGAAGAAGGTTCGGAGCTATGGAATAGGACTCCGATCCTGTCATCCCCATCTCTCCAGCAACAAAACAACACGTCCGACTGTCATGTTGGTAACTTGGTGTCATAACACCATCCTATGGTGTGAGCCCACACCCCTGTCATCACCAAGGCGCCACATTGCGGAGACGCTTCACCTCCAACTCCAGCGCCGCTGCCAGCGCGACGGTGACGTGCAAATGCAGGTCGCTGGGCGACTGGTCGGCCCTGCGGAAGAGTCGAACCCGACGGCGTCGACCCTGCTTCGCACGGTCGCAATGATTCCCCACGTGTTTGAGGTTTGAGTTTCGAAACGGAAGCTTGAGCTCGGATAGATTGATCAATTGCATGAAACGCACGTTCCTTTTTGCAATGTGTAACTTATGTAACTATATAAAACACACATTTGCCAGCACTTGCTTCCGTTGCGGAGGTGTGAGTTGAGGCAGGACATTGAAAGAAGAACTAAGAACCACCAAAAACAAACACAAGTGATTTCAACCAGTGAACCCTGGAAGAAGCGTCTACCAACCTCCTGTGTCCAGCTTGGCCAAAAATACCAAGATGTCTCTACCCACTGCTCCACTTTTTTTGCAACATGACCATATCAAACACTAGCCATTAGCATTGATCACAGCCAGCTTAGGCCTCAGGTTTGAGATCGTCAACTTGCAGCTGGCTTGGATTGTCGAGATGCCTCGTGAGGCATGTGCAAAATGTCTGCAAGACACAGATCCGGAACATATATAAACATCTTGTTTAGATCCGAATTCTCGTACTCAGCTATAAATGTGATGGTGAAAGGTGAAAATTTGCAAATATGGATATATAACGATATACATATCCCAGGAAATAGAAACACGTCGTGATTAGTGTTTAGCAACCAAATCAATCTTTTTCCTAGACCGACTGTTCTAATTACAGACTCCTGCACAACCAAATATCAACAAGACCTCAGTATTTCTGGGGCTGCCAAATTGTGCTGCCTCCTCACTACATTTCACCAATCGCGACTGCTACTGACCCACTCCAGCACTGAAAGAGTACGATCCAGCACTAGTGCTTGGTTCCAAAGACTGCCGTGGTTCAGCAATCAGCGGACAGGGCAACACCCAAACACACTGCTTCAAAAAATACCATTATGCAAATTATGTGGTCGTCATCGTCGTTCTTGTTGTTGAGCTTTACCTGGCATCCCTGCACACACACCCCAAGAATCTTTTCGCCTAAGGTAGAGGTGGAAGAATCTCGCGTTCCGGCTGTGGATGTTGTTTCACTCGCCGTACTTGGCAGCTCCTGGCAGACCGGCTTGGCTTGGCGGACAGTTGATAGCTCCAGCGGACTGGGTTCCGAGACCCACATGGGAACCTGAGTCTTCCACGCCCGGTTTGTATATATATATATATATTAGAAGAAAATTGTCTTCCAATGCGGACTGGGTTCCGAGACCCACATGGGAACCTGAGTCTTCCACGCCCGGTTTGTATATATATATTAATATTAGAAGAAAATTGTCTTCCAATCTGGTCCATACTATCAGGATCTATCAGGTTCCATATGAATCTTCCCAGGTGTAATCCTCAGTGATACAGCTAGATAGGCACCTGTAGAAGATAAATGACATCGCTGGTGGATGACATCCCGCTGATGAAAAACCATTCACCAGTTAAAAGCACGAGGATATCAAACGCTCAATCACGCGACAAATGCAACCCTCGAATATGATAGAACAAATCTGTGGCGACTGGCACCTTTACACAATCATTTTACCTAGCGCTTGTATTATTCCGGCCCTCCCTACAACTCAACAGGCCTTATCTTACTAGATTCCGGATCCTGCTGAAACCAATAGGTATTCAATGAGCTAAAGAACCAGGCTAGGACATTTATATAATTACTGCAGTCCATTGGGACCTTCAGGGCCTTCGCACGATTCCGCCAATGCTTCCACCATCGTGCTGCCGTCCCCCGCGCTGCCTCCCCCAGGGCACTGGTGGTGGGTTGCCTGGAGTTGGCACTCCGACCGTTCAAGGCTCAAACCTAAAGCTGTTGCACTGTTGACACCTATATATTATACTACTATAGATATTATATATACACACCAAAGGTCCTTTCTTCATATTTCTGCAGCTGCGGGTCTCACTTTGCTACGCGATCACTCTTTGTGGACCAGCCTTGTGTATCACAAAATGGACTCCCCACGTCGAGAATCTGAACACATCCGGTTAAGGGCTTCCGGAACAGGCTTCCTTTGGTTGAAAGCACCTTCAGTGCAGTGTGCAGATGTCCTGGGACCTGGAGAGAAATGTGATCAAGGATCCAAACAATGCTACTGCATGCTACTGCTAACCTTATACATTGCTACATGTCTGGCGGACTGGGACACTTTAAGTTAAGTTAAAACAATTGGCAGTATGCTTGTTCTGCTATGTTTTGCAATGTTTTGCCTGTTCAGAATATTTCAGAATCCAACACACCAGAAACAACAACAACAACGACGACGGCAAAGGCTACTACTACTACTACTACTACTACTACTGCTACGACTTCTACTTCTAGTACTACTACTGCTACCGCTACTGCTACTGCTACTACTGCAACGACTACTACAACAACCGAACGAACACCAGTGGTAATAATGAGACATGAAAGTCCAAGGAGGAATTTCCATGGCCGAATCCACCGAACTCCCTGTCCACCACACGCCACACCAAGCTGCAGCTCCGTTCCGTCGTGGAAGGACGTGGAGCTGAAGGGGTCGCTGGAAGTGGTGGGATCTCTGCCTAAGGTGAATGCGCTGGTGGAGGTCATCGATGTCGCGCCAACTGTTGAGATGCTTTGACTTCTTGATGTCGTCGCTGTGGTGACCACAGTGGCATCAGCAGCACGGGCGGTTGTCAAACTTGCAGTCAACATTGCGAGGGTGGTAGTACTGCTCATAGAGGTTGTTGAAGCCGTTGTCGAGCTTGTTGTAACATCTCCGACGGCTGAATCAACCTCCATGGGGGTGCTCGTTGTGCTCGCTGTGACGCTGGCTGTGACGCTGGCTGTGGTGCTGCTGGACTTGGTGGAACTAACGACCGTCGTAGTCGCAGTTGTGGAAGTTGAATCAATAGTGGTGGTAGAAGTGGTGCTTGTCCTTGTGCCAGTCGTTGTAGTAAGACTTGTTGTGGTGGTGTCTGTGGTGGGCTCATTGGATGTGGTGCTAGTTCTGGTTGTGGTTGTGGTGGTGTCGGTTGCATCGGATGCTGTAGTCGTTGTGGGTGCATCGGTGGAGGTTGTTGCGGTGGTGGTGGCGGCTTGTGCATCGGTTGTGGTGGGTGGTTCAGTCGTAGTTGATGGCTCGGCGGTAGTGGTGCTGCTGGTGGTACTGGTGCTGCTAGTAGTGGTGCTGCTTGTCGTTGTGGTCGTGGTCGTGGTCGTCGTAGTGATGGCACTGGTCGTAGTGGTCGTTGTTGCTATATACCTCTACAGTCCAACCATGTCCGACCCCCATAGCCGTTCTTGACTGGGTGGTTGTCTGGAACGTCAGAATCTGCACTTTCCAAACGGGATCAAATTACCGTAACATCACATAACGCTTAATAAAGCTCAACAGACCAATCCATGACAGAGTCTGCCTCCTTCTCCCACCCGCAGGTGGTCGTTTGTACGCCTCCTTTCGTTGCACGGAAACCCAATCCGATCCTTTAAGTCCCAGTGGAGCGAAGCAAATCCCCCGACATTCAGGGAACATCCAGGGACCAGGGACTGGAGCAAGGACGCTACTAGGAGCAAGGGCATCGCTACTACGAGCAAGGACGCTACTAGGGCCTTACTACTAGTAACAAGAAGCTATTAGAAACACGAAATTCATAGAATTAGAATACACACGACCAGCTGAGCATTTGTTCGGAATCTGTGGCCAGCTCTTCGTCTGACGAAACTAGCAAGAACCCGCGCGAAACCATCGGAAATGGTTAGACCATTTGGTCTGGCCTTGAATTCCCTAGGGCTCCAACTACATCCTGAGAAGATGGTTAAGGTGGGTTTGGGGGTTCTAACCACCTTCTAAGGATATGGTTGGAGCCCTAGGGACTACTCAGTTGCAAACAGCCTTCTTTGGGGGGGTCACGGTCTCACTTCGTTTAATCACTTCATTAGATGTGGGAGAGGTGGCTTACGGCGCCAGGTCGTCCAAGGCGCCAATTGCTTGCAGACCATGAGTAGCTGCAGCTCACCACCAGTTGTGGCTGTGCCCAGCTGCTGGCTTCTCGTGAAAAGAAGTTCAGATTCTCGTCACTGTTGGCAGCCACCTCGTCACGACCCAGTGGGAAGCGGGGTGGAGCGTGGACGACCGAACTGGCGGTGGACGACGCTGTTTTGGCACCAATCAGATCGTGTCTGGGTGGTTGGCACTCCAAAACCAGGTCAAACATGGTCAAACAGGTTCTATAATGTTTTACAGTATATGTAAGGATTGCAAACGCATACTGTATGTCTTCAGAAATTGCTGTATTCTTGATCCTAATTCTAGAGCTGCACCGAACGACCAGGTGGACGGACAAGGGGCTTCACCGACACTTGGGTTGGAAGTTGAAAACATCATGGCCCTTGGGTTGGACACATTGAATAGATCATATATATATATATACATATAGATCACTGGAGAACGGCCAATAGATTGCCAATAGATGTTCCTCGCAGCCAGAGAAATTCATTTTTTTTCGAACCGGGAAGCGGGGACATCAGCTGGTTCAAACCACAAAAGATCACAAAAGTAGTATCATTTCATGGGATGTGGTACCAAACATGTTGCGATTCTTTTGTACCACATCCCATCGTCCACCCGAGATACAAGGAGTATTACTCTGATCGATTTCGGGTGAAAACGGATTTCAACAAATGCCCACGACCAGATCCAACAAACCTCTTGCACCTCTTGCAGATCTCTCACCTCCACCCAGATCCTCAAATCTAACCCGGTCTCCCGGGTCCTACCCCGCCGGGCCGTGTCATCCGGCTGCAACCACATGGACAAGGCAGTGCCAGAGCTCCACCAGTCCCTTAGGGGGTCTGGGAAGTCCTTCCCAATGTGGGGATGGATCAACATTTGGAGGTATCCTGGTAGATCAACCAGTGGGTATACTGGTGCCATGACCCACAGCAATGTGCCCGGATTAGGCGGTCGCATGCATTTTGCCAGGTGAAACATGGTAAACAACAAAAGATAGACCTTTGCGGCAGCTTTGTCAGCTTGCCCAGGCTGTGCGCCCCACCACTCAAGAAAGTGGTGCATTGTACACCTGGGAGCTGAGCATGAAGAGATGTTATATCGTCCAACCTCACTTCTTCCAAGGCTGCCAGCGGCCTGTCCCGCGAAGTTCCAATTCAGCTGAAAACCCACTGGGCAAACATGGACTCTCCACCCTATCGCCAGTCCTCTGGCGAGTGCATTTGAGATTTGCGGATCAAAAACCATGTCTACAACTTCAAATCAGCATCCCTTTTTTCGCTATAACGTGAGACGGCTTTGCGCATATAAACGGTACTGTAACGCAAAAGCAAGAATCAATCACCTGCTCGCAGGAAGAATCTTGGGCCCGGAGCAACACAATATGAAGGTACTACATGGTACTACCCCCTATTAGATGTTGGGTCCGCCCCATGCGAACTGGAACGATCCACACTCATATCGGGCCAACACCATCTCATCTGCCAAGTCTCACACTCAAGCTCACAGCCTGATTCAGCTCATCAGAAGTGACAGTCAAGGTCCGTCGGTCGTAGGGATCCTCGATCATCACCGATGGGTGGGTGGGGGTGAAGGGAGAAGGCCCTGCGATGATCTGGCTCCGGGAAGCCCTACACTCTCTACAACAACAGGACTGCTATGCGGCTCCAGTCATACCTAAAAGTGAGAAGGTGGGACTGGGGTGAGGATGGTGAGTGCCAGGAGGTTCCAGTCGTACCTTCAGCCTCTCCAGGGGGAGTGAAAGCTAGCGATCCGAGCCGTGACGGGACACGAGCGTTTAGAGAACCAGCGTGGTAAGCGTGGTCAGTGGGTGATGTTCATGGCGATCCGAGCGCTGGCGGTGACCTTGACATCTGTATCCAAACTTCTGCTAGCTATAGGAACTATGTCTAAATGAAGTGCGTTGATCCAAGAAAGCTCTATAGATTCTATACTAAGGATCCACCTTGCTTCGTTCTGGACTCGAAGACAAATGAAGGCGCACCCGCACTCTGCGTTTGACATGGGAACCTGCCTCACTCAAACAAAACCACAAGTACAAATCATAAATATAGATACAACCTATAGACAAATAGGGACTCACAAAGTGATAGACCGGATTCAGGTTTGCTGCCTTGAAGTGGATCTTCAAGAGGAGTTTGTCAACCAACACTCTCAGGATCCCTTCTGGTCTACCACAGTTTTCAAAGGATGCATGCCAAACTGCCAAAGCTTGATTGGCCAAAGCTCGTGTCCTTTGTCCTTCCAGAGCCTTTTTGAGCTTAGATCTTCCAGGTGTTTCTTGTTGCTGGCTGCAAGGACCAAAAAGAAGCAGAACTTGGAACAACACAAGTATACACGCACATCAAAACCGATAGCACATGATAGCATCCTATTAATATCAATTAATATGTGAATAAGTATGACCAATCACTTGATCACCGAAATCGGCATCCTTTCCCAGGCTCTTTCGGGGATGTGTCCCACCGAAGATGGCTCTGCCAAAGGTTCGAAGCTTGGGAAGTTGTCCCAAGTGGTGCTCAGCTCGGGCCAGCTCTGGTCAGCCACGGGGCCATAAGCCAGCCTGAAGTGGAGTCCGCGGGTGCCAAATCCGTATGTTTTCCCCCATGTTGGTTGGGAAAATTGGTCTTTCCAGCATTTCGGGTCGTGCTACTGGGAATCTGCCACTGGCGATACCAACCGTACAGGATACTTTCAACATTGGCACTGCCATATCACACTGCATGTACTTAAAGCACTCACCCTAATGTGAGTGCTACACTCCTACCGATGCTCCGCGCCGTGCCGTGACGATCGTGCCCCGGTAGCCGCACCTAGCCTCACACACACACATCCATTACCCTGGCCGCAATAGCACCACTCTTGTTGCTAAGATGTGTCTATAGAGTCTATAGATGCCTTTAAGATGTAGTGTTGTAATCAATACATGGGAAACATTCACTGAAGGCTGCTGAATGTGGGACAAATCCATCGGACGCTTGTAAAGTTTTGGCTACTATACAGATTCTGTATATATCGACCGGATCGTGGATGACTTTGTAGTGTTACTTTTCAATGACTGACTACGCCGCAAAATTCAAGACTGATATCTGTCCGATCTGACCACCAACAAAGGCAAGGCGACTCTGTAGGCTGCTAAAGTCAAAGTGCAAAAAACACCCTAAGATTTCTCTACGACGTGAACGAGACTTTAGATGCTTTTGTCACCCTGTTAGATTCTGTCCTGTATGTATTCAATTCTGATTCCGCCAAGCAACACCAGCGAGGAGCTGGAGATCCATTTCACAGTCAAAAGCACCGTGGCCTCGATACAGCTTCTGAGCACAGTGGCCACTCCCGTTGCTTCGTGAACTGGAAGGAGCCTGGTTTTTGTTGAGACCCTATGTTTCATGCATTCAAGGCTCAAATTAGAAGGCTGACCCTGCGAAGCCTCCAAAGCATATCTCGTTCTTGGCTGGCATCATTTCTGACTTTCATAGCTAGTTGAAAAGCTGCGGCCCCCCGGCTCCCATCTTCCAATCCCGCCAGTGCCGCGCGCGGGAAGCCTGCTACTGCCCGTTATGGCAAGGGGCAGTTCCGTTGCTGCACTCCGAGAGCGTAAGGGCAGGGAAGCGAACGAGGCCCACTTCGTTGTACACCTGCGGCAGTTCAACATGGGTTTCACATTGTATCATTGCGCAAGTAAATGGATGTTTCTTCAGTGTGCGGGGGAAAAACGTGGTGGTGGTCTTGGGTGTCAACGGCGTTACGGCCTCCTGTTCTTTTTCCTTTTCGGACCTTCTACTGATGTAACGTTGTTTGATTTGACCACTGCTACACAGCAGTCATGATGTTGTGTCTACCAGACTGCTGATTGGGTGGGGGTAATGACGTCTGGTTGGATCATCAGCGTCTTTTTTGCAATCTCATCATCTGCACCTTTGGTTCCTGCACGGGAACATGCATGATCAAGATTTGAACTTCATCTCATCTTCGCTTCATGAGCTTCATCTTCGTCTTTGATATGGGTTATCTTAGAAGGACCCCCCCCTCAACCCCCCCAGGATAATTAATGTATTCAACTGAGACCCTGGGACATAGATTCCAAAAAGTTATCCAGGATATCACTATATACAGTATTAGATAATTATTCAACAATCAATGGCCAGGGGCCCCCCTACAAAAGCATGCAAGAGCAATCATAGACAGCAAATGTTCATAGCGTTCCTTTCCCGGAACATTAAAGCCCAACAAACCAAGCACTGTATCCTTTGCACCTTAACCTAGAGGTGTGAAAGCTACTAGATCCTAGTAGGCTTGTTGTCTGTGCCCCCACATCCACCAACCTGCAAACAATTGTCCAGCCTGTACGCCTGTATAAATTTATCCAGGAGGGGTTGACCTCACACATACCCCACAAATGTGTGTGTGTGTGGGATTGTATCTGCTCCGTGGAACAATAGTTCCATTTCCGTGGCTCCAGTCCAAGCCCGTTGCTAGTTTCAAGAATAATTACGCAGTTTGCAGTCAAGACAGAAGATACGAAAACCTCAGAACTATCAGAACGACGTGTTGATATCTTAATTTAACCGCAGTAAGCTTTCACATAACCCCCCCAGCCTAAAAAGTTAACCATTGCAAACCCCCCCAGCCTAAAAAGTTAACCATTGACATTGAAATTTAACTTTAACAACATAAATATCTGCTAACTCAAAGGGGGGTGTGGATAATTTATTTAAGATATCCCATATCATCTTAGAACCATAAAGGTGGTTTAGTGCCGAAAGCAGTGGAATTGTCTGCGGTTGCTGTGGGACAAGTCTAGATGTTGCAGTCCGTTCAATCTGGTATGCCGTTGTGCTTAAAACACCTGAAACAGTCTCATGTGTGAATCTCCCCATTGGGCCTTCGCCCATATTCTGCTTGTTGCCCCTCAGCAATGCTTATGTACGTGTTAACCTCTTAAAACCCCCATCAAGTCTCATCAGGTAGCTTTGACCAAAGAACCCTGATGAAGAAAGTGAGGGAAGATGGAGCAGCTGCTCCAGGAGGTGGATAATTCTGTCCTAAACGACAACTGACGAGTCATCGCCACCCCAATCGGATGCAAATTGCACACCCATCTTGCCCTTCAAAGAGGGTCAAAAATGGTTGTGTCTGCGATGCACGCTTCAAACATGCCTCACAAAAAAAACTGTTTGGCACCTCTTTCACTTGATCAATTGGAACATGAGAGTACCCATGGTTGCGGCGGTTCATGAACACCCCTAAACCTCTCAGCGGCCCATGAATAGATACAACAAAACAACAACCAAAAGGTCAAACATCATGGCTCACCACGCCCATGTCTTTTCAGCGATGGCGTCCCCTCTAATTCCCCTCAACCGGTTCAGCCGCGCTGTTTGGTGAGTGATCAAGCCTGGGTAGTGCCATCCGGTTCGGGTTCGCTTGTGCCTTCTTGGAGTTTGGGATTTATTTCTTCAACCCTCAGGGCGTTCTCAGAACTTCCCACACCTGGTACCACCACATCACTACCTATAATAGGGGTCAAATCATGTCAAATCTCTCATTTGGATTCCCATGCGGTTGCTCATCCAAGGTGCTGATTGCCCATCAGGTCCAGATCCAGCGTCCCAGGAGTGATACTTTGTCACCTGAGTCGGATGAACTTCGGTCGCCAGTGATGATGATTCCGACGCGCCTGGGGAAGACATGCAAAGCCCATGTTCAAGCTTCTGGTATTATGGATGTTGTCTTTGGATTCATGCTGGAGAGAAGGATCAAGTCTAACTTCTTTTTTAACAAACGGTGCGACCACGGGATGCGGGTCGTCGCTTTGTGGTCTCTGGACTCGGGCGACCAAGCAACAATCTCGTCGACGGCCCCGACGTTGTGTCCAGGGTTCGACTTGAGCGCGTAAAGATCTGCCTGGACCGCCGATTCGACCTATGCGATCACCCCGGACTGGTCTGCGGTCTGCTGTCCTGGTCTGGGTGGAGAACTGGGATTCAACGTTGGCCACTGCCATAGGGTATTTAGTGACGTCTTTACAACAAGGTTACAACGAAGCAACGCAAAGGCGATGGACAGCCATCAGGCAGCATGATAGTGGATTGAGAGTTACAGCTACTCTCTAGAGTCACTTGCAGCATGAGGAGGCTGCACAACTCAATCAATCCCTCGTGCCAGCTACCAACACAGGGCAATGCAGCTCGGGGAATGTTGCGGGGCACTCAATTTTGGAACCGGGGCTTTAGCGGCCCGGCACATTCGCGGATCCTTCGCGAAAGTTCACTAGTGATTTCTCCGGGCACACCATGCGCAAACATCTGCACAATCTGTCAGACCTGCGGATCGTTGCCTCACTGTGAGGGCTGCCCAAGCATGATGTAGTTACAGTTGCAGTTTGTGAGTTGGGAAGGACAATCCTGTACGCACTATCAGGGCTGCACAAGGACAAGTTGAAGGTGTCAGTTTGTTAGTCTGTGACAGTGGGGACATGCGGGGACACTTCCGCACACTGGCCTTGCCATAGGATTGCCTTCCATCTCTCCATCTCTACATGAAGACAAACAGTCAATGCTCCTCTTTCGCACACCGACAGGACCGACAGGACCTGGGCGAATGCCTCAGGGTCGGACAGTTTGGATAGCATCTAAAAGTATATGTCTCCCCTCACAGGCATCTTTAGTAAATGTCTCCTCTGATCAGGATGATCCTCCTCCCAGCCTCCGCCCCCAAACGCTTAGCTCACTGCGCCTCAGCCCCAATACTGCTGGAGCCCTCGAAGACATCAGCACCGAAGAGCGCCGTGAGCTGCGCGACCGCCGGGCGCGCCTGGCGCGCCTGGCCAGCAGCTCTGAGCAGCGGACGTTGTGGGGAATGTGAGCATGCTCTTGGGTTCAACATGGTTCAATGATCCAAAACATTCCAAAACCATCCAACAAACGTTTCCATGCTATAGCAACAACACCCCTCTCTAACTTTAGACCTCTTTAGACTCTAGAATCATTAGGAGCCACGGTTCGAGTTTCATCACGTCCATGCTCTGTTCATACTCGAGAGCCATGACTTCAACCCGGAAGGCAACAAGAGCAGTGCACCTAGGCACTACGCAACGAAATTGCAAATGCCGCGCTGCACTGCACTGGAACAAAAGATCAAGAGGCTGAACTTTGCTGATCGAAACGTACGAAGCACCCAAATCTACAATGATGGCAACACTCCGGACCTTGAGGCCCAAAAGCATTGACTTTGGGGCTGGAGGGTCATGGATTCCCCATGCAGCCATCACCCCGCCTGCGGATTTGAACCAGCTCCAGTGGCCTTAGCAGGATCCCCATGGCCAAAGGGCACCCGTACCCGCGTGTTTCCAGGATCTTAGTGAATATAGTAAGCCTACAGCATGTCGGCTATGGGAGGGCTCTTGAGCGATTCCTGCGTACTGGAACTGTGATGATGATGATGATGATGATGATGATGATGATGATGATGATGATGATGATGAT